GAAGAAAGCAGTCTTCTGGGATGTGGCATCGTGTAGATGTGGTGTTGTTTCGGAGGAACGTATCGCCTCCATCTTCAGGGCAGAAGGAAAAATAAAAAAAAAATCCGCAAGCGAAGAGACCGTGAGAACCGGTACAAGCAGACTGGTCACATCTACACCGTGCCACATCCCAGAAGACTGCTTTCTTCATAGTCACCGCCGTGAAAACCTCAAATATTACAACCAGGAAGTTGATCACTGTGTTCACAAGAGTTCGCCACTGAATCAGATGCGACCAGCTCATAACCTATCAGTACCAGGCAAATGATCGATTTTATTGCAGAGGAATATAATAGTCAAGATCACAATCTAGAGCAAGTACCTATGTCCATTTGAAGAATTTCGAAAAACGTTTCCATGTTAAAAGGTCAACTGCATTTAAAATGCGTATGTTGTGGAGAGAATTTCTTGCTTTCTCTTCACTGTAATTCGAGTATGACATGACAAGTAAAAAGAAAACTTTAGTATTTATGCGTAATGAAGTGCGCTGTTATGATGGAATTAAGTGGCAAGATATATATGTACCAAGTTGCATGACGATCGGTTTAAGCAATTAAGTAATATTAGGACTATTACAGCAACGAGAGGCTGTAATATTGGTATTACTGATTAGATAATTTATGAAGTTGGCCGTTGAGATGGTTTGATAATTATAAGATTGATATAGACATTCAAACAATATTAAGGTTTGGCCTCAGAAATTTGAGATATGTTCATTTAAGGCCTAATGATGACCGAATTGTGGTCGAAACATGTAACATAGCTTATTTGTAATAAGTAAAATGTACATTAATATCTACTATCTCAGTTGAAGATATTTCCATACCACTCTTTGTGTTGTGTTGACGGTTATAATACAAAAAAAATATCTAATAATGTAATGTTGGTGTTACTGATGGAAGGGATTTATAAATTATGGCATTGAGATGGGCTCAGGTGCCATGATACATATACCAAGATTAATAAAATTTGGTTCAGGAATTCAGAAGTTGTTAGTGGTTACACATGTAGACACACAGACACACGGAAAGGTAATCCCATTAGCTTGCTCTTATTTTCTCATAATAGAGGAAGTAGAAACCGCACCTGTAATGTTGCATAACGTGTTACATGTCAACAGTTTAATCCTGCCTCACCCATTATTTGCGTACGTCTCCTGCCATGAGATAAGGAGATTCAAACTAATATGGCGTACTCATGGTCTTATCAGAGCGACTCAACCTTGATGGATGCATTCACGGCAGGAAATGAAACATAATAGCAAAAGAAGATAACAATTTTCTTAATACGGCGCCGTATTGGCAGATGTACGCCGACGTTTTGGAGGAACGTGCTGTTTTCATCTTCGTGTGTAGAAGGGGGAGCAAATTTCTCCGACAGATCGGTAAATATCTATCAAATTAGTGTCACATCCCAGAAGACAACAGTCACAAATATCTCTTCACTAGATGGCGGCGCTGAAAATCAGTTTTTTGCTTGTGAAGAAATCTGTCTTCTGGGATATAAGGCCGCCTAGTCTTTTGGAAGTCAACCGACGTTTCGGATAAACATGCCGCGTCCATCTTCAGCGCCGAAGAATAGGCCAAACAAAAAACCTGCTTGCTACATGCTTAAAGCTGGTTTCTTGCATGGCTTAGTCTTCGACCAAGAAGATGGAAGCGAAATGTTCCTCCGAAACGTCGTTTACTTTCAACGGACTTCACGCCGTTATATCCCAAAAGACAGAAATCTTCATAACCACGGGTGTGAGAACACAAAATCCTATATAATATTTTTTTTATTGCTAGTGGGTGGGACCAAATCCCTTGTACTGCGGCCACTTCTGGCCTATTGTACCAGCCCCAGATGATAGGTGAGGGTGATTGTGGAACAATTGGTGGAATGAAGATTGGCAGGGGAAACCGAAGTACTCGGAGAAAACCTGCCCCAGCGTCACTTTGTCCACCACAAATCCCACTTGACCAGATCCGGGATCGAACCCGGACCGCTGCGGTGGGAAGCCTATATAATATTTGGTTTACTTGTTTGCTTTCATGCATTACGAATTTATATCACCTAAAATCCATATGCATTATAGAATGAAATAGGAAGATTTTGTATACGTCACATAAATCGGAGAGCGAAGTAAAACTGCTGTATTGATATTCCATTCACCTAAAGCCAAACGGTACGAGATTCGAACCGTGAACCAAGTGAATGCGGACCAAGAGTCCTGCCCACTACACTGCGATATTCATAGTTTTCTTGTGATGAATATTTAAATGAAATGAAAGTTGATGTAACACAATATATGTTTCTGATGGCAATAATGATGGAAATACTGCCGTTTATGTTCAAGAGGGACAGGAGATGCTTTTCGGCTTTCAGATATTAGGTTCTTTGACCTCTTCATAATCTAAGCATAAAATGGATTAGATGATGAAAATAAGGAAAACAATTGGCTGTTCTTGTTTCCTTCCGTTATACTACCACAATCAATAAGTTCGTGAAATGCCCGCAAAGTGCCGTACGGGAATTTACTGCCAATATGTTTCAGCAATGTTTTCGGCAGCTATATCAACGTTGGCAGACTTGCATAGCGGGCAACGGCGACTATTTTGAGGGCTGATGTGGATCTGTGTAAGTGTATTTTAATACCTTGTAATATGATGCGATAAAACCACATTCCACGAACTTAATGACTTTAACACGTATGTCCCTCCATGAATACAGAAACCAGTCGTCCTTATTAAAAGCAATGCAATAGACTGAAACGCGTTTTTGATAAACACCGCGTTACAGACTTCTGGTACCTCAACGATATGAACAACTTTCACCGTTCTGGCCTGCCACTATACATTTAATGCTCAAAACAGAAAGATCGTACAAAGATACCGAAAACCGTACCAAATTTCAAATGATTAGCTAGGAAGGCACATCATGTCAAGCCATAAAACAAAATGTAAATAAATAGGTCCTATTGATTTCTTTCAGGCAATCGAATTGCTGTTAATTCCCCTAACAAAATTGACATATTTTCCATGAATGAATGTATAACATGTAGGTAAATACAGTACTATTTCAAGGGATTAAAATAATGATGTTACAAAAAGTTACAATTTGTCAACCCCCTTTAACTTTGAATACATATTCTTACGTACATACAGTACATGCATACAACATATAACCAGGAGGGAACAGACCACCAGGAAGACCTAGACACAGGTGGTAGGATAATATTAAAATTTATATTAGAAAAACAGGATGAGGTGGTGTGGACTACGTTCATCTCGCTCTGGATAGGGATTAGTGGCAGGCTCTTGTGAACACGGTAGTGAACCTGCAGGGTCAATAAAATGTCAAATTCTTCAGTAGTTCAGCTACTGGTGGCTTCTCAAGGACCCAGCTCATCGACTGCTTTAGTTACAAAAACTGCAACCATTGAAGGTCGCTGTGCAAGGGCCAG